CTGTATGGAAAGCCCTGAGAACAGTATCATTAAGGACTCAAACAACGTAAGCAATTAGTAGGATTACTATTATTAAGTCATTTAGGTCTATCAGCCACTGTGAATGGCTTCAGTAATCTCTCATGGGTAGTTAATGATTTATTCCATCAATGCAACTTTGATTTAGTTAAACTAAATTTAGATAAACTAATTTTTATAAATCAAGAGAAACTTGATTTAGATAAACTACACTTGATTTAAATAAACTAAATATCTCCAATATTTAAAAAATATCTTGCTTATTCACATGGCCCAATTATTTCCTTAGGGTTAATTTGCAACAGTTGAATTTCTTGATTAAGGGGACGCAGATTAAAAAACGGATAGTTTCAAATAGCCATCTCAAAAGGTCCTATTAGTTTATTCTACTAACAAAAGCACATAAATGTTATCTATTTTCTTATAATCTGGCTAACTCCAGGCACTACCAAGCTTTTAAATAACCACCAATCCAATATTTTTCAGACGCCATGCTTTCTTTTGTAAATTGCCTGTGTATATGCTTTCCCAATTTTTCTGTAAATATTTTTTAATAATTTTCCTCAATTCTCTATACATTAAATTATTAGCCTTTTATCATATAAATTACTTTGCCTACAATCTCATTTGTCTTTTAAATTTTATGTAAGCATCTTTTTCTGCAGAAAAAGTTTTCAATTCTAGTAGCTGGATCAGTTATCTTCCTATTTGAAGTTCACACCAACATTTAAAAAAAATCTTTATTTTTATGATTTTTTAAAAACTCAGTTCAGGGGATTATTTTTGTGTGAGTTGTAAAATAAGGACTATTTCTTCTAACTAAATGATCAATTAATCCAACACCATTTGTGAAATGATCTCCTTATTTCACATTTATTTAAAATGCCATCTTAATCAGATGCCGAATTTTCATATATACTGGGGTCTGTTTCGAGATACCGCACTCTCTACAGGTTAGTAATATGTTTTCAGAGGTAACAGGGACAGTCTCCTTTTATTTTATTGTTACAAATGGACTTGAGGATTAATCCTGTCAAGGTCTATAATAATTTCATTCCATTTTATATTTCATAAGGCATTTAAATTAGTCTCACTATTTTATATACCCAGAGAGCATGGTCTCTAGAGATAAATGCATCACCAACAGCAGAGGAGATGCCAAGTGCCTTATTTGACACGAGCCCTGTCAAACTGCTTGCCTACGTTAGCTCATTTAATCCCCAAAACACTCCAGTGAGAGATGTACCACTTCTTACTCTCATTTTGTAAATGAAAACACAGCAGCAATAAAAAGATTAACGTATTTTCCAAGGACCTACAGGGATTAATTAATGGAGCTGGAATCCAAACCCTGGACTCCTAAATCCAAACCCTGTGTTCATAATCCAGTCTGAAATACAGTGATTCAATTTCATTTTCACTGCCATTTTAAAACAAATTTTCAGCTTACCAAAATCTGAATGATTTCCTCAGGTTTTTTATCCTCAACGGGTATCCCATTCACTTCCCTAAGTTCATCGCCCACGTGAATAAGACCTGAGAAAGAGCAGATTCGGAAAATGAGCCACGTTACCTACAAAAGAAACTGTGGTTTGCAACTGGGTCTATGCTTGAGGCTCTGTCTGGTTCCCTTAGTGCATCTGAGGATGGAAAGGAGACCTTCCCGCTCCTCCGGTTTCAGACGCTGTGCCTCTGAAGGACCATGAATCAAAGACATCACAGCGCTGGCCATGGAACAGCAGCAGCCTTTTGGTCTTTGTCCAGAAATGCACATTACTTTCATCTGATAAATAATTTTTTCAAAGCCTGCATGCTTTTACTCCTCAAATTAGAAACACTGAAACAAGTCTTAATGTGAACCTGGAAGCCCACATAAGCAAAGACCATCAAGCAAAATGAGATCAATCATTTATTTAAACAGGTTCTCATCTTTTAACACCGAGAAAAATATACTTGTTTTGTAATAAAGACCGTTATCAGGGGGAGGGTACAGCTCAAGTGGCAGAGCACGTGCTTTGGCATGCACAAGGTCCTGGGTTCAATCCCCAGTGCCTCCACTTAAAATAAATAAACCTAATTACCTTCCCCAACCCCATCAAAAAATAATAATAACAATAATAAATAAAAATAAATAAAATGTTTTTAAAAGATAATTATCCTCTTATGTATTGGCAATAAATAAACCTAGTTACTTCCCCCTCACCAAAAAAATAATACAATAATAAATAGAAATAAATAAATAAAATATTATTTTGAAAGACCATCATCCTTTATATATTGGCAACGTTCCACGTAACACACAACATAACTCATCTATACCGCTTAACTATTTATTTAAACTCTTACCGCTTCTGTCTGCAGCTCCTCCTCTCATGATTCTGGCCACGATGATGGCCCCAGTCTGTTCATCTTTCTTAATGGTAGCTCCCTTTGAAGGAAAGAAAAAAAATAGTATTTGTGGGTAAATGTGTGTACTGGATAGTAAGAAAGAGGGCAGAAATTGGGACAAGCATCTGGAAAAAGTAAAAAGAGCTACAAAAAATGAAAGGAGGCAGGAGGAGGAAGAGACATCACAACCACGTGTTACTAGGCACATGATTTTTGACCTTATCTAAGGTTGTCAGCACAAGGCAAAGATTTCTGATACCTTTCATCTCTCGGATAATATGGAAAGTATACCAGTATCTTTTCTCCTGTCCATGGTAACACTGTGGATTTGAATACAGCTTCGTGTGACCCTTTGACAGCACTTCCTCATTTCATTTTATCTTTAAAAAGCCCCAGGAAGGAGGCAGACTATCTACAGAAGGTTAAGTGAATAGAAAGAAGATCTTATAAACTAGAAAACCAAAGCCCAGATCACCTGACTTAAAGTTCAGTGATCCTTCCCTTACATTATTGTAAAGGAACTCAGCAATGAAAAGAAAGAAAGTGGAGGAAAAAGCAAGACCTGCCACTCCAAGGGTCTGATGTACTAGGATTGCATTCAGTACAAATAGAACATGTTGGCATGAGATTAGCAAACAATTTCGAAAGAATCCAGAAATTCTTCACTGATGGGTGCTCAGAAGCAAATTAAGTGAACGCCCTTTGTCAGAACATCAGGCACAAATGGTGACTTTGAACACCTTCTCATGACTTTCCTTCCAAGAAACTGACAGTGGTTTAGAAAAGCCATTCCATGTTCCATCACATGCTTAAAGAGACACAAATCAGCTGATTGCAGAACTCACCTCCAAGAAGAAGGTGGAATTTCTCTCACGTTTGTCAATAAACACATTTATAGCATTAAAATATAGGTATGGAAACAAAATTAGGAATCCATTTGTAATAAGTGTTTTATATATGACATTTTGTTTTATACATGACAGCTATCAGATACACATCTAGTAATAGCCAAGAAAAAAAGATTATTAAGTGGTAAGATGGTTTTGTGCCATTTTTCATCACCTACGCATGCATTCAAGGCCAAAGACTTGAGTGAGTCCTTCTGCATGGTCATAAACCTTAGACTCACCAATTACTGGTATTTTCTGCTTTTAAGCAAGTAACTTGTAGCCAAGATGACTGGAAATGTACCATTCGTAATACGACTGGTTAGTGTGATTAGATCAACTTTCGCTGTCTTTGACAGGGTGTCTCAAACTTTCACACCCAAGTATGCCTAATGGCAGGAGGGTCCAGTAATGTAATTGACGGTTACTTACCCCTACTTTATAGATAAGAAATTGAATCCCAAGTGTATAACTTGTCTGAGATCAGACAACAAGTGCGCAGTAAAGACTTGTCTAAAATGATCAGAATTGCTGTTTTTTGTTGTTTTTTTCAATTGACATCTTGGGCCTGGGAGTCAGAGGAACTGTTTCTCTGGGATCATAAACGAAAGACTTCTTCTGAACCCCATTCTGCGTCATAATGACGTGGGGGGAACAGCTTAATCTCCCAGGGCTACTAAAGCTCCAAAAGATGTGGGCAAGAAAGCTTCAGGAACAAAATCAGATTTTTAAAGAATCCTTTCTGTGTAAAGAGGCAGGCTATGGCTAAACCTGGGGCACCCTGCTTGCAGGGCAGGACCACCCTCACCTCGGGGCCCTCCTTCGGTGTTCAACACAGAGACACAAAAAAGGGCATTTCCGCAAGACTCACTGCCTCTGGAAATGTGGTGCAACTCTGACAATGTCCTGGGTTGCTGCTTTAATCTTGGTAAGAATTTTACAGATTCTTGTCTCCAGGAACTCACGCTTTTTCAGGTGAACTTTCCTTACGGGCTCAGCCTACTTGGGGAATGAACTGCTGAGAATTACCTAACATAACCTACACACATCTTAGCAATAATAATAATATTTTCGGCCTAAGTGATGAAATTAACTCAGTTCAATGAGTTTTCGGTCATGCAAGGCGTACTGGCTAAACTGCTGTAGAACAGACTTCACAGTGTTGATTAAATGTAACGAACTCCTCGCTCGCTCACTCTCTCTCGTGAGCCTTACAGGGATTTGTTCTCCACTTCCCTGATACAACTTTGGATGGGGAAGGTGGGGTGGGTGGTAATACTTGATGCTTGACATCAAATCTAAGCCATCCTCGTTGCTGGAACATAGTGACAGACTTCTCTCCACACAAGGAGGACGGGTAGGAGCATGAGGAATCTGCCAGCCAGGTTATCACTAAGCTCAAAGCCTTGGGACTTTGCTTTCCACAATCTACCACGACAGAACTGGAGAAAAACACCCCCAAACTCTATGTACAAAGAATTGCTGATTTCAGTGAAGCCATTGCAAACCAAAGAAGAAAGATGCACCTAATTTGTAATGGTTCAAACCTAAACTATTACCAGCAATGCCCTACCCCACCCCACTTTCTTGCCACAGTGCTCTTCTCTTATTAAGGTTCAGAAAAAAGGTCAGTCCGAATTGCTAACTGGTTCTACTTTGATTTTCTGTGGCCCAATATCTGAGCCACTTCTGCAGGAGCTCCCAAGCGGCACCCCGCCCTGCTTTGTTCCCTGTTCTCCTCAGTTACTGATTTTACTTGGTTGCTGGTCAAAGCCTTTGGGATGTTTGGAACTTGCACCCATTGCAAATGGCAATCCCCTCCCCTGTACAGTGGCTGAAGAGGCAAAGATTACCCAGAGGAGCAGTGAGGCATCAGGGTCCTCAAAACCACCTGGGCTTTTGCTGAGTCTCTCACTGCTGCCAGGATGCTCCCCGGCTCAGCCCAGGAGAACCGGGCACCTGCCCCACCAGCCAGAAATGAGGGTTACTTCTTGTGCTCATTCGCTAACCTGCACATTTGGTGTCAGGAACAGAAGCTTCTGATCAGAGAGAATGCAGCCATGAGTTGTTTTTTTTTTCTCTTTGTCCGTTTAGACAAGTCGACTATTTCAAACCTAAGTTACCAGGTCTCCAGGAGCAGCACAATTTTGTTCCTACCTCTACCTTCCCATCCCCTCCCCACCCCGGGACCCTTGCAGTTCCCCTCGTCCTCACACCCCTGTGCTGTGCCACTGTTCTCCTGACAAGAGGCCATCAGGCAGCTCTTCCTGGCCTCGGGGCCCTTCTCAAAGTGGGCTGCCGCCATGCGGACAGGTATCTGTTCCTTTTGTTGTTTCGTTTTCAGCCAACACTCGAACAGAGAGAGAGAAGCCAAGATCAACTCACAAACAGATACAAAGCAAAGAGACAGAGAGGCGGCGATTTAGAGGCTGGTCACCAGAAAGATGGCGTCGGGGTGGGAGAATGCCCAGACGGTAAGGCCCCTAAATGGATGGAACTAAGTGTTCAGTCGCTCTCTCACGCTTGGGTAGATTGTTCGGCTGGATGGTGTTCATGCGGACCCTGCACTGGGGAGATGCTCTCCAATCAGTCCCAGCCATTGTCCTTGACGATGTGTGCTAGCTCAATGATGTATTTGCCTTCTTTATATTTCCGGCTGCTTTCAAAGGCATGTTCCTATTTCCAGCCCAGAGTGGTTTTGCAGTTTTCACAGTAGATGTCTGCGATGGCATGCAGTCCTGCTAGCAACACATGCTCTTCCGCGGGCCCGCAGCCCACGTTAACTAGTGAGTTAAAGAGGTATGCTCGTCCTTGACATCCTTGGAACGACTTGGAAGTGAGTTCATCATGATTGGCCAAGTGGGCTCTGCAGTGAATGCAGCTGTAGGTCCAATGGCATGAGGGCAGATATGCCTGCAAAGTCTTGGAGCTTGTCGTCTTCACCATTGGCACTGCTGAACGTGGGCTGAACTCCGGGGTGGCCCATGAGGCACTCCCACAGGATGGGTCACACAGGAAACACTGGGAGACACAGGTAAAGGCCTTGGTTTGGCAAGGGGTGGGTGTACGGCAGGCTCTATACACTGGTGACGTCTTCAGAGGAAGGACCCTCAGGCAGAGGTCGAGGGCTGGTTCTCAGCAGCTCACTTGGTTTATAAGCTCTTGTAAGCTGAGAGTGAAGTCAGAGGTGGCAGTCTCCTGGACGGGGTCCAAAAGAACAGGTGGTTTCCCCCCATCCGCCAACGTCGAAAAAGC